CTGTTGTTGAATGTCCTTAAGTGATGCGGTTTCTTTTATTTGGTATAGTGCTTTGTTTGCGATTCTATGTTGTCACTCCATAAGGCTAGAAAAAGCGTGTTCTTCACCAAGACCGATAGGCTTAGCGCGCTCAACGGGAAACATATAAGTAGGACTGACAATATATATATATATATATAATTAGGAGAAAGGGTCCACGTGTGCTTCTTGTAGTATGTAAAATAGATAGGTTAGTTAATAAAACAACAACAAACGAAAGGGTACTAAATATTTAATAAATGTTTTTCGTACTGATTATATAACCAGTACGAAAAACATTTATTAACATATATGAATTATTAACAATATGACAGTATTGAAGCACGGAAAAACGTTTTAAATCCAGAATTTTCGGACATACCTGTGTCCATCATCAACGGAGCGAGAAAAAAAAACAGAGAAATATGGATTACTCAACGACAAATGTTTTTGTAGACGGTGTATTTTCTGGTGGAAATCATATTATCAAACATCCGATCTCCGATTCCTTGCTGTGCGAAACTTTTTATGAAAATAAACTTAAATTTAAAATTCTTATCGGTGTAAGAGCGTTAGGCCTGTCTATTATTAGTAGTAGGGAAAGTGGGGAGTTATATTGTAAACATAGATGAAGAGAGTTATATGTTGCGGAGTGGGGAAGACGTCTAGCGGGTAGCCAGTATCACCGAAATTTATCAATTTTAGAAAAACGGACTGTACAAAGGCGTGTTCGAAAATTCCGGATTTAAAATCTTTTTTTTTCCGTGCTTCATTTTTGTCATATGGTTAATAATTAATATTAAATAAATGTTTTTCATATTGATTATATTAGTACCCTTTCGTTTGTCCTTGTTTTATTAACTAACCTATCTATTATATATATACAGAAATATAGTTTTAAGGTGTGATATATTTATGGGATAAAGTGCTTAATATCAGAGATAGAGCGTGTGTAAATATAAAAGTGAACATTGAAGTCAACATTCAGAGGCGACAGGCTAGACGCAATCGTCAGGCCGCTTCTAGCATGAAAAAATCCAACACACGTGTTGACTTCAATATTCACTCATATATATATATATATATATATATATATATATATATATATATATATTCTTTTTTTTGTTCACTATCATCTTTAACTTCAGGTTGATAAATCACACTCTCTGTGCAGTAGGCTCCGTTCAAAAGGCCATTTATTTTCGTTTCTGCAATTACATGACTTGTTGTTTTTCCCTTTTTGTACATAAAATTTCAAATATATATATATATATATATATATATATATATATATATATATATATATATATATATAATTGTGTGCATTTAGGCAGCATTTTTCATTGATGCATGTTTCATTAAATAATATAGACAAGTTTTATGCAAATTCCTTTCATATCGTCTGATAAGTTTAATAACATTATCATTGAAAGAGGAAAGAAAATCAACATATTGATACATGTTATAAAATTATCATAAAATAAATAGACAGTTTAATAGTTTATCATAAAATAAATAGACAAAACTTGTGTATATTATTTAATGAAATATATATATATATATATATATATATATATATATATATATATATATGCACCATTGGCTAAAAGTTTGGTTACACCTCTGGATTACGAATAATCGCCTAAAAATCGAAGGTGGTGCGCCTTTTTTTAAACTAATGTACTAGCTCGATTTTAGCTATAGGGACCTTCTCTTTCTCAAAGATTATGGTACATATTCAATAATAATAATAATAATAATAATAATAATAATAATAACGACATTAACCCATTACTGCATAAAATTTCCGTTAAATTTGAGTAGTTTTCTAATCTGCTTTGCTGGCTAATGATAATCTTAAAGGTAACAGGTTTAAAATTTTAGCTAACGACTCCATGGAACACCAGGCACTAATGGATTAAACACTTTCAGGATCCTAGCTTAATAGGAGTTTATTAAACCAAAGAATATATGAAGTTTACTACTTAGGAAATCCAAAGGGAGGCTCCAAACCTTTGACCGACAAAATATATATATATATATATATATATATGTATATGTGTGTGTGTGTGTGTGTGTGTGTTTGAGTAATGTATTTTGGGCAGAAATTTATTAATCATTCAGGCATTACTGAATACAACAGATAAAAAAAAAATCTTAATTTTGTGTAGCGTACCTTCTTTTTGTTACAAGGGAACGAATGCATGAGCATCAAAATTATGCAGAAATTGTTCATTATTCTTTTCGATTTTAGAGCTTTCGACTCGTCTTTGGTTATGCTCAGGAAGAAAACATACGTGTTATTATCAGAACAAGAGGAGTGATGAACTCAATTCTAACGCCATGTTGGCATTTCCGTTCGAGAACATTCTGGGTTAAGAATTTTATTAATTATTGTTTATTTTTATATTTGATTGGATATATATCCTACCAGGCGTCATTAGGTTGTGGGGGGGTCACAATTTTAACAACATAATAATTGCAGATGAGACAGTGTTGATAGCGGACAGCGAAAGGAAACTACAGGAAATCCTATTGAATGTAGTAAAAAGAATTGAGAAGAAAATACTAAACATCAATTCTAAAAAGACAAAATGTGTGTTTGCTAGCAAAATGAGCCTCCCAACATGTAAATTACAAACTGGAAATAATAAAATCGAAAAAGCACAACAATTTAAATATCTAGGAAGTGTTTTAACAGTGCTCGGAAAGTGTGAGACTGAAATCCGTAAGCGGAGTAGGATAGCAAAATATGCCTTCGAATATATCCTCAAAGTTATTTCATTCATCTAAAATCCTGTTCTGAAAGCTCAATTTGTTAAACAAACTAGAAGTCCTACCCGGAATTATTATTGGCGAATACAGTCTGTTATGGTCCGTTTCCTTGTACCACGGTGATAGTCTAAAGTAGAACCAATAAAGAAGAACTCGAATACGGATATGGAATAACACAGATATATTACAAACAGCAATATATACAGAGAAGTAGAAAGTGTTAGTACGAACAATCAGGTTTAGTAGTACTTGTCTGAATGCGATTCTGTATCAGACTGCCTCTGACTCGACTGACTGACTCGCTCTGACTGACTGACAGACTCCTGACGGACCTCACGCCAGAATTCAGACTGAACTCTAGACTTCAGACGGAACTCTCTGCTTCCTCTTGAGGCGCAGTATTTATTACGTATGGAATAGTCCATTATGTTATTATGAGTAAGGTCCCATAACACAGTCTTAATAACATAAGTTACGCAGATGACATAATGTTGATAGCAGACAATGAAAGGAAACTACAAGAATTCCTGTAGAAGGTAGTAAAGGAAAGTGGGAAGAAAGGACTAAGCATCAATTCGAAGAAGAGACAATGTATAGGATTTCTGGATTGGTTTTCTTTCTATGAAGTCCTTACTAACAGGTAGGTCCATGAAAGTAGTAGAGAAAGATGCCTTCCAGAAGCTCAGCAGAGTATTAAGAAACAGGAACGTTTCATCAGAAAAAAAAAAGTTGCTGAACTCTTATGTAATAACAGTCGTCCTCTATGGCGGTAAATGTTGGAAAATTTAATCAAAGTTGAAAAGGAGACTTGATGCAACAGAGATATGGTTCTACAGAAGGATGCTGAGAATACCATAGACAGAACATGTGACTGACGAGAAATTTTTAAGGAAAATAAAAACAAAAAGGACACCTGTATTTTGCACGAGAGATAGTTGAAATTTCTGGGAGACATGATGAGGAAAGAAGACTTTGGGAAATTTGACATTCACATGGTGAAGGCAAGAGAGACAGAGAGAGTGATCAAGCAAGTGAGAACATGTGAGTAATGAAGAAGTTTTCAGGAAAATCAAGACAAAAAGGACGCTTATACTTTGAATCAGAATGAGACAGTGGAAATTTCTAGGGCATATAATGAGGAAAGGGGGATTGGAGAAATTGACACTCATAGGATATACTGAATGCAAGAGAGACAGACGAAAGCTGCGAATAAACTGCCTAAGGAGCTTGTGCAAAGGGTAAGCAGAACAGGGTCTAAGAGGAATAGCAACAAGCCTTTGTTGAACTCTGATAGACCGCGTCTAATATAGAAGAAGAAGAAGAAGAAGAAGAAGAAGAAGAAGAAGAAGAAGAAGAAGAAGAAGAAGATTGTGCAACTGATATCGGTGTGAAAAGTTGAATTAGCGTACGGAGTTCAAATTATTCATTCAATTAGCACAGATACTCTTGTAAAGGGGGTGAATCCATTTTCCTCAAGCTATGGGTTAAATAGCTGAGCATACTGAGTTCTTTAGCCGTGGCAGGGGATATCATTCTAGGAGTGGGACAATTTTGAATATAAAACCAGCCTGAAGAGGGATATCTTACCATCGACACACCCACTGCTACTATAGCTTCAGTACATGTACAGTCTCTACGGCTATAATGGATTATGAGACTCCTGGTAGAGTACTATCTAACTGGTACATATTGTTTGTGTTGTAACTTAGGTTACTGAATGAGGAATAACCAAAACGGAGGTTGGAAATGAAATGGGAATCTTTATAACATCAATAAAACACAATACTCGCCAGCGGCGTGAAGTAGGTAAACCACTGCTGGTGGTGCACGACTTAGACAGCATATTACGCCCACTTACAATAGTATCCAACGTATTTATGAGGATTAGTTCATATCTAATAATGTTCATAGGTACGGTATATAACAGTTTGATTCGTTTGGTGGATTCATTTTCTACGGCTTATCAACCCTTAGGGTATAAGCCGCAGGTTATTTATAGCCAGAAAATATTTTTAGATTGCAAGAATTATTTGGTGGCAATAATGCTTTAGTGATACAAGCCTTACTAATTAACATAGCTGGGGGAAGAAGAGGTGAATTCATACCTACTCAAGGATATTTGAACGTAAGTGAATATAACGAACTCAAAGGGAATTTGAACTCTGCTCGCCGATTAAAAATTCCTCACACCACCCGCACATCCAATCTTACAGAACCTGTTATTCCCATGCGGTCACCTATCTAGGCACTGACCAGGTTCGACGTTGCTTAACTTTCGTTGATCGTACGGGAACTGGTGTTTTAACGTGATGCGGCCGTAAGGCTGTACCTTTTGTTTTATCTCCATTGTCCACTGAACATAAGTGATTATTCTTCTTCAACATCTGAAGGTATGATTTCCCCCCTCCCCACAAGCCTTCCCATCACTCATGGTTTTTAAATTAACTAAAGCATTGACCATACATCGAAACGATTCGCTTGAAAATTTGCTTTTAAACTATCGACTTATACACAAATATATGCCGTATATATTTACCTGTCCATCGAATTTTTTTTTTATTCACTATCGTCATTTCTTACTCATTTTAGTACTTTTTCCTCTTCAGCTCCCGACCACACTTTCTCTTACCTCCACAGACATACACACAAAGCTCTTTGACAAGAAAAACCCGTATTCAGTATTCTAATTGACTCCAACATCCAAATTAAATTCACTTTAATTATGCCACAAAACAATCATCCTCTTTGTATTTTCTTTTTTTTATTTCGTAGAAATTTATTTCTCAACAAAGCAAAGATGAAAAGCGAACTTACAATCGTAATTTGAGTTTCATTAAGTAGCAATTCGTTATTTCACCCGGTCGTTTCTCCGACCGCACACCTGCCTATGCGCCCGTTATGTTCTTTTGATTTAGTCTCAGTCAGTTGGTCGGGCGACCTCACTAAATGACCCTGTCTCGGATTGACTGAACAAAATCACTGCCGGCAGACACAAAAGCGAAATACCGACGCAAACAAAAGGTTCTAATTGCATTAATTAGTGGTAAAATCGCAAGACAATTACAGCTATGACGGTCATTAGCATTTTAAACGCCAATACCAACAATTCGGGTTCGAATCCTCTAAGCGGTCTCTTAACATCTTTCTTCATGTGTACGCACATACTCTTAAGTCTTTAATAGGCAGATGTTTATTTATTTCGGCCCCACCCTGTTATTATATATATATAAATGTCTTACCAGTATATGATTGGAAGGGGTAATTCCGAGGAGGATATAAATCTAGGGAGAGCTCAATGTAGATTACAGAGCATTATAATGATAAAAAGACCGAGACTTTAATTATCCATTTCGTTTATAAATTTATTTCGTGAACACCGAGATTTTCAACTCTTTGGATCTCTCTCTCTCTCTCTCTCTCTATCTATATATATATATATATATATATATATATATATATATATATATATATATATATATATTATTTGTTATTAGTTGTTACAAACGGACAAACAAGTAATCACTACAAAGATGCATATTTGTTTCGATGCTTAACCTAAGCATCTCATCAGGTGTTAAACAAAGACGGTTATAAACTATTTTATTTAAAAATGCCACTTATGAAACATCACTTCTTTTTACATTATTTAAAAAGTTAAGAAGATATAAGAAGAATATATATATATATATATATATATATATATATATTAATCATTTCTCCTCAAGTAAGGCAATAAAGCCTCTAAGACTCCGGGGGTTACTGAGTATGAAAGTATACGAAAAATAAAATCATTATTAAGGAGTGAGAACAATAAAAGAGGAGAATTAAGAAGGCAGCAACTAACGATTGATATATGATAGTAAAGATATCTATTTTTTAAAAAGGCGCAATAATATACAATAAATATTCTTCTTTTCTTCTTCTTCTTCTTCTTCTTCTTCTTCTTCTTCTTCTTCTACTACTACTACTACTACTACTACTACTATTACTTCTTCTATGTGTCTTGTCCTTTTAGTATCTCCACAACTTCCTATATCTATCCTCTTAGTAAAGTTTGTTTTCTCACCCGTCCTGGCTATGATTATAATCTACATCCGCGTCCTGGTTAAGAAGATAAATTACGTCCAATAGCAAGTCCTCTGATCTGGAGGTTTTGAGGAGCGTGGAATCCACCTCTTAATTGCTGGTGTTCCCAGGTCCACCCTGACCCGGGGTGGTAGCACCTGTTAGGGTCCCAGTTATGGGCAAATAGTTAACTGTGGTCAAAACACTATGAACGTGTAAAAATAGGTTTTAATACCAGCAATACATTTTTGAAGAAAAAAAAATTACTAGCAATAGATTTTATGGAAAATAAAATAATATTAGCAGTAAAAATCTTGTCGGCATTAAATAACCCATTGAGGTTGATATACCGTAAAACAAACCACAGCAATACCATCTCTCCTAGTGTCGGTTCTGTTATCCATTTATGCAAGCATGTATGTTCACGATGATGTTTCGGCTTTCTTCAATCAATTGGAATTTCGAACTGAACCCTTTATTTTGTCCACCTGAGTAGATTGTTCTCGTTTTATGTGTCGGTGGGGACACGTGGCCCAGTGGATAAAAGTGTTAGTTGGATTCAGTGGCTTCACCCAAAGAGTTGTGAGTTCAATACCTGGTAGTGGTGAACAAAACCTTGGAGATTTGAGTTAAAGAGAGATAACTGAGACATCCGGAAGGGACATGGCACGTGGAACAAGAACAATCTACCCCGGTGGATGAAATAAAGAGTTCTGTTCGAAATTTCAATCACCTGAAGAAGACTGGAGCGTACAACGGCCGAAACGCCGGGAACATGACAATAAAGGATGAGGACAACAGTCCAAACAATGTAAATAATGGCTTTTTCTAACTATGTACTTTGACGAACAAAAAAAAAAAAAAAAAAAAAGCATCCCATTGTTTTTTTTTTAAATTACCAATTAATAAACCCTTCTTGACTTAGACTCTAAATTTTTGATTTTTTAAAAGTAGGGTGTGCCGCCAACATATTCTAAGCATCACGAACACACACACACACACACACACACACACACACACACACACACACACACAGAGAGACAGAAAGAAAATATAGGCAAAAAATGTACTTTTAAATAGAGAGTTGGGTTTGAGATTTTTTCTCAAAATATGTCAATATTCACTTCAATCAGTATTTGCAATTGAACATTTGTTTTTCGCAGGCAAATCTTTATACCATTTAACAAGTACTGAAAACTATGAATATACTGCCCTCACTGACCCTCAAGAAAAAAAAAATCATAATATTTAAAGTTCTGTCAGCAAACCTAAGAATTGTTTATTGAAATTTGAAACGTCTAAAATAGAATAAAACTGATTATTTCTTAGTGTAACTTTAAATACAAACATTCCGAAATTATCGTAAATTCTTGGCTTTTCTAAGCGTCCAATTTTCTTTCATACAAAATTCTTTGATTTTCAAACCCCCTTTTATAAAAATTGAGAAAAATTCCGACACCGACTCTTTGTATTAGGTATATAATTATATACAAAATAAATAAATAGTATCAAATAAATACTGTTTTTAATCTAGTGAGGAGCCATGTTTGCGGGCAACAGATTTTTTTCTAATGTGGTAAAATCATATTCGCTTATTCTGTGTTTGGTCTTGGAACGGTTCTAGCATGTAGCATGTTGGGATTTTGCACGCATTCACATGATTTGAGAAGCCATGTTTTATATTAATTATATCTTTATTTTATATTAAGTACATTTAAACCGTAATAATGTAGCTTCCCTGTGTCTTTTTCATAAATATTTTCATGGTAATTGTTCTAGTGAACTTTTCTCTATGTTGTTTAGGAATGTAAGTGCAGTATTAGAGTGGTGGCAATGTTTCATCATTTTACAATTGAAATGGCTAGATGTAACCGTAAGTTCTATGCTAACAGTTTCTTCTATTGCACTTCTTGCTTGTGGAACTCTCTTCCGACTTCTTGCTTTCCAGTCAACTTTGATCTTCAAAAATTTAAATGCAATATCAATCGTTAGCTTCTGTCTTCTTAATTCCTGTTCTTTTATTGTTCTCTTAATAATGTTTTTCTTTTCCTTATATTCTCCCACACTCAGTAACACCTTGCGTCTTAATGGCTTTATTATCTTGATTGGGGTTAAATGATTGAAATATATTGATCGTTATCAATCCCATGTAACAGGAGAGTTGCTGCACAGTTAAGCAGCTGGTCAGTTTCTTCCACATATTTGCGTCGAAAGCCGAAGATATATTCATTTTCATAGGCCAAGTAAACTTGGCGGTGGTCAAAACACAGCCGATGTCCTCCAACTTGAAAGATCGCCATGGTCAGGGACACTTGGCTTTCCAACCACACTCCTCACCAGAAAAGCCTGTTGGTAGAACCGGTTTAGTTGCCAATGATTAGACTATGTAGCAGGTAGTACACGGTTACATGGTATCTGTAGTATTCGTAGACTGATCTGACATAAATTGTTTAATTAATTACCCAGGCAAGTGATGCTGTATTCAACTAAATCGAGTACGCAGATATGCTGGTGAATGTAATAATATTAATAATATTAATATTAATAATTAATAATATTAATAATTAATAATATTAATATTAATGATATTAATCAACAACAAATAATTAAGTAAACGTTTATAAATAATGAGTAAAAAGTTAACAAACAAATTAGCTTCGAATAAGCGTATTCGGATCTCAACTTCTACTCAATAACCTCTAGAATAATTTGAAACAACCGTTTTCACCTAACCAATAACCGTTAGGATAGTACAATAGCCAAATAGTGCTCGATATTTAATAATAGAACTATGATTTATATTAATAATAAATATACATTTTTCCACATCAGTAACACAACTCTGAGTTTCATAATCAACGCAATCGTCAGATGCCGAATGAAAATTCTTTCAATCAGCACCTGACGATTGCGTTGTGCATCAAAATCAGAGGTGTGCTACCGGCGTGGGAATATATATAAAGAGTGCGATGGATAAACTGTCGTCTAAATTACGCAAAAACGAAAATAATACTGACATCTCATTTTAACAGATATATTTACCAAAATTACACAAAAATATCTTGAAATACTAACGAGTCAATTCATTCAATAAAATAGCCATGGGATTCAACCACGGCCTCCGAACAAACTTTTGAATCTCCTGCAACATTTCTGGACGGTTTCCTTGTTTTAAGTTGGTGAATGCTGCCATAATCCTTGCTTTCAGTTCATCTTTGGTGTTACAAGGAGTTTTCTTGGTCACTCGCTCAACTGCTACCCACTCATAATAACCAAGGGATTGCAATCTGAGGAATGAGGTCGCCAGATGTAAGGGGTGATGTGGTCTCAGAAATTGTCTGACAACCATGACTGGGTTCTGAGCTTGTGGGACATGGTGCAGTGTCCTGTTGCCAGACATAGGATATTCCAACAGCCACCCTCTTAACGCAGGGCAGCATTAACTCCTGAAGGCACTTGAGATAAGCCGCTGTGTTGAGTTTGAGCGTGTGTGGAAAGGTGAATGGAGGCATAACGTCGCCTTCACTACTGATCACTCCAAACAGCTTCATAATCCCCATTAGACTCATCCAACTCTTTCGGAATCCTGTGCACAGTCCTCAGATTGATACCCAAACACACTGAAATATTCGTAATGGAGCTTCCAGCGCGAATGTCAAGCAGTACAGCATGCCGTTTCCACATTTCTGCGTCATGATTTTTTTTTTCCTCACAGAAGGTGCCCAACTGACCCTACTATACTGTGTTGTCGATAAAATCAAAAACAAGCAACTCGCATGCGCGAAATTAAAAATATAAAATGGTAACAATTTACCCATCACTTATTGCACACACACACACACAGACTCTCTCTCTCTCTCTCTCTCTCACACACACACACACACATATATATATATATATATAGATATAGATAGATAGATAGATAGATAGATAGATAGATAGATAGATGGGTGGATGTAGATATCGGTGCAGAAAGTCGGTCTAGTGTGCTGAGGTAAAATTTCACACGAAAATCTCTTCTTCTTCTCCTTCTTCTCCTCCTCTTCCTCTTCCTCCTCCTTCTTCTTCTTCTATGTGCTAAATAGCCTAGAAGACTGAACTCTCTGTTATTCATGTTACATATGCTATCCATTTTAGTTGTTACCGTTATTGAAAGTCTTCAAACAGTCTGCTTTATATCATTTGGTACGGTTCTTTGTGATTCTGTAGCACCAATCCAAAAGTTTCGAAGAACGGTGTTTCCTCGTTACGACTTAATTTATTCGCTCTAAGCCATTTTAACCATGGATCTGAGAAATCTGTTTTATACAGACGATAGTTTAGATATTTCTGAACGGGTTATAGTGACATGCCTGACATCCACATGAAAGTCTAGATCTGACTAGATTATTTCAAACCATGACTCAAGTTTTTTTTTTGTTAATGTTTTTGTTTTGTAGCATCTTGTGGTGTTGGGCAATGAAACCTCAATTCTATTTTCAATTTCCTGACCTTCTATACTAAATTTATTATAGGTGATCCATACATCGAAGTATTTTAAGTGTTTAGTTTTTATTAATTCAACCCCTTGAACATTTATAAAGGATTCAGGTTAAGTGCCATCACTGCTTTCATTCTAATTCTAGTTTCTAGTTTGGGATATATTCGTCATTAGAACTGATTATTTATGACTAAGCCTAATGGTATTGTAGTTCTATGCCAGATTATGATGTCCTTAGTAAAATACTGTTTTTGTTTTAATTCTTAAACCTATAAACATTAATCAATATATTGTCAGAGCAGACAGTATAAATGCTGAAAGGCAGGTACTTATATTTCGTAGATTACACAAAGGTATTTGATGAGGTACTGCTTAAAGAAGTACTGGAAATATTACGAAAGCTTGATTTATGTGAGAAAGATATTCTGTTCATCCGTAATATTTACTAATAAAAAAAAAACAGATTGCATGCAGATAGAGAACAATTTCAGTAAATGCACAAAAAACAGAAAGAGAAGACAAAGATGTATTTCCTCACGAGATTTATTTAACCTATTCAGGGATACGGTTCTCTGAGCACTAGATGACCTACCATGATTTAATATCGGTGAGCATAATGTTAGCCAACTAAGATATACGGAAGACACTGTGTTGATATCAGACACAAAAAGGAAACTGAAAAAAATTCCCAGATAAGGTAGTAAAGGAAAGTAAGAACAAAATGACAATTAATCATAAAAAGATCAAATGCGCGGTTGAGAGTAAAAGAGGGACCTCAAAGAGTGGGCTATGTATTAGGGACGTTAAAATCAACTAGGTAGTGCAATGTAACTATCTGGTTAGTGTAGCAACGGCAGATGGAAAAGGTGACAGTATTTGCGTATAGTAATGGTGAAATTGGTCTTTCAGAAAATAAGCAATGTATTAAGAGACAGGAAAATTTCGCTAGAAGCAAAGAAACGTGTGCTGATTTGCTAGGTAATATCTAATCTCCTAATATTTAATCTGACAGCGAATGCGAGATATTTTTCTCAGTGATGAAGAAGAAACTTAAAGCGACAAAGATGGGTTTCTATAGGCGTATATTTTTAAAAACATGGACAGAATATGTGATTAACAAGGTGTTTACAAGGAGAATACGAGATACTAGGAAGTATATACACTTACAATTAGAAAGTGAGTTGAAATTTCTAGGAAATAATATAGGCATAATGAGGAAAAAAGGCCTGGAGAATTTAACACTCACAGGGCATGCAAATGGCAAGAGAAGTAGTGATAAGCATCGAGTAATCTACCTAACGAACTTGCATAAAGTAATGACCCTATTATAGTGTGAAGATAGCAACTCTTTACCATCTAGAGGGATGGTAAAGAGTAACAGATCACTTACAGTAACAAAAGAAAGTAGTTGTGGAGAGCCATGATCGCCTACATTCTGAAAGGAGGTGACATATAAAAGAACTAGGCTTTTTGCAACATCATCACAACGTTTCTAATTTTACATAATTCGAAGCAATAATATTATTGATATTTCCAAAGACTTGTATAATAGTATGTATGGCACAAGGATAAATGAATAGGGTACCCAATGGAGATTAAACTCACTGCTATTTGGGAATCGTTTTTACAGTAAGGTTCACCCTGTACAAGACCCGGGGTGGGGCACTCGAGATAGTTGGTTACGATAAGGGGTAGATTATATGAATACGAGGGGAAGATAACTTTTGACTAGACTTGAACAGGTTAAAATTGCAGTGATCGGGGAAACATCCTCTAGGGAGTCTCTTCTATAGGGCAGTGGTTCACAGAAAGAATCTGAGTGGAACTTACTTCTCGCCGATAGAATAAAGGATGAATGTGGATAGTTTGTTACTATGTTAGTGGTATGGCGGATCCTAGCCGTTAAGGACAGACCTGGTGGAACAAGGAAATGCAGTTCGTCCGAAAACTTTCCATGGTAGTAGCCACACAGTAGTGAGAGGCTGAAGTGTGGAAAATAGCTTTTTATAGAACAAGGTCACAAGTTTTGGTCACTAGTCAGCATTAAACTCTTTATAGTAGTAACTATTGCTCCCTGGAGAAATGATTTTTAAAATATTTTCGTACTACTTAATGGGTTGGTTTGGCTTGTTTTACGTCATATCAACCGTTTCTATTTAATCTCGAATTCAGTCAGTTTGATAAAAGATATAGGTTCGGTTTATACGCGAGACATCCCTTGTTTCCTGTTTAGGACTGGGTTTCCGGTTCCTTCTAACGTCTTCGACAGAACTCTGAAATGTTATTCAATAATTAAATCTTGATCTCTTTAAATCTTTTAGTATTTAAGTCTGCATAGCTCGAAGAACTTTTTTTTTGCCGTATCTATTCATACAACACCACACAGTAGCTCTCTTCCTTGAGTGTCTCTTGGGCTTTGTATTAGGAGAATATTAGTAAAAAATAGGAAGAGAATCAAAAGAGAGTCTTACATTTTTCACTAATCCCTTTATTTTATACTTTTGTTATACTGGAACACACCTATTTTATAGTTAATAGACTCTCCCACCTATAATAAGTAGGAGTAGTAGCAGTCGCCAGTCGCTCAGTAAGTTGGTCAGTCAGTCGATGTCGGACGAACGTTAGTCGGATATTAAAATATCAGCCACCACAACTAGATTGCTGCGTCATTAACTCTTATATCAAGTTCCTAACGTTTTGTACGTCGAACCTTTTTTTAGAAATACAAGCCTCCACTGTGAAAGTACTCTATAACAACTTTTGTCCTTATACGAGAATAAAAAGGTAGGCATAGGTTTGATTTTTCTGAGAGTCTATTTTGGGGGTTACCTCGCTGCACGGGGATGCCGTCAGTGTATTTTCGGCCCCAACCGACAGGTCTGATGTCTTAACGTCTGTGGGTATTTTAAAAAACAAAACAAAAATACATTGAAAAAAAAAGTTAATGTCATTGCGGAAGTGATTACGAATAGTATCAACCAGATTTTGAACGCGGTTCAGCTGATTTTCTCTTGCATTAACCGTTCGGCCAATTCCACCTCTTCGCCAATATTATACAAGGCATTAATTTTCCCGGCATCGAACCAAAGTTTTTGATTGATATCTTTTTAATACGGCATTTTTTTTTTCTTTGTTGAAATGCATTGTACAAATCAACTAATGCTCAACATATTTGTCACATAGTATCTCCGAAACACGCATGGAGCATATAAAAACAGACAGGACACTTTGGAATGCAACAAGGATGGGAAAGCTAGCTGGTGTCATCTAATCTGAAACGTTTGGGCACACAACGGGAACGCGCATGCGTGTATAGTTGCAGGTGTGGGATTTGCAAACGACTGATCGAATTTATCTTCCTTCCAGTTCAGATAGGAAATAGAAGAGCAAAAGGAAAAAAAAAATTGTGTTGATGCATGCGCACATTTGTTTTGGCGCCTGTGTTTGCATGTTTCTGTATTTGTATACGCATGCATATTAAAATGTGATTGTGTGTGTCTGTGTGAGTATCTGTGTGTCTGTGTCTGTGTGTGTGTTTTGCAGTTCATGAATTACTGATCGGCGTGAGAAATTGATTCTCTTCTGTGCATCCATGGCAATTTTTCAAAGTTTTCCTTTTCCGGTACTTCACTTTCTTTCTTTCTTTCTTTCTTTCTTTCTTTCTTTCTTTCTTTCTTTCTTTCTTTCTTCTAATTAGAATTTCCTTTTTTGCTTTCTTTTAATCATATTTATTCTCTTTCTCTTTCCATTTTAGTTTTTGTTATTTTTATTCACTCCTGATTTTGTCTTTCTTTCTTTCTTTCTTCTCTAATTTTAATTTCATTTTTGCTTTCTTTTTAATTAGATTTACTTTTCTTTATTTTTCGTTTCCTTTATTTTTATATCCTTCTTTCTTTCTTTCTTTCTTTCTTTCTTTCTTCTGTAGTTTAATTTCCTTTTTTGCTTTCTCTTTAATTAGAATTTCTTTCTTTTTTCTGTTTCCGTTTTCTTTTTCTTTATTTTTATTCTTTCTTTCTTTCTTTCTTTTTACTGCTATTTAATTATTTTTCTTTCTTAACTTCTCTTTCCATTTTTCATCCTTTCTAATCGTTTTCTTCTCTTTTTCTTCTTATTAATTTCTACTCACATTGTCCCTTCATTCGTTCCCGTTCGTGTTTTTATCTTTCTCATATTTTTGAAATATTAATTTTTTTTGTCAACTAGTCTTTTTTCTTTGTTTTTTATTTCTTTACTTTTATATTCTTCTCTTTGGCTTTCCTCTATTTCAAATTCTCTCGTTCTGAGTAAAAACACTTATCTTTCTTTATAACATTTTCCTTTCATTTCCTCTTTTTTTTCTTCTTCTTTATGATAATCTTAGTATTGTCAGCCATTGGATCTCGTTTCATACGTGGTCGATCTCGATTTTTTTCGACTCTTTTCCTAATTTTATTTTTCTTTCGATTTTCTTTTGTTTTTCTCTTACATTTTTCACTAATCCCTTTATTTTACACTTTTGTCCTTTATTTTCTTTCTTTCTTTCTTCTTTTCTTTCTTTCTTCCTTTCTTTCTTTCTTTCTTTTTAAGAACATTTTCCTTTTCTCCTTTTCCTTTGTCTATCTTTCTTTTAACTTATGGCCTTTTTTATTTTCTTCTTTTTCTTTATCTTTCTTTCTTTCCTTCTTTCTTTTTTATTCTTTCTTTCTAAATTACTTTTCCCCTTTTTTTTCTTCCTCTCCCACTCACTTCATTTCTATTACTTCCCCCCTCCCTTTAAAGTTCTCATAGAATCCCAAAAGCATCACACACTATTCTTCTCTTCCGGTTGCTTGTTCTTCCTTTTCTTCTCATTTGAACCCGCAAATCTATGTCTCTCTCCCTAGGGGTGTTTGGAAACATCGAGGTTTATATTTAGTGGAAATCTATCCACAGATTACGGCCACGAGACACGCAAGCGACCAGGGAATTTCGCAGCAAACGCCATTGCTTGTGACAGCACTAGGCAGTCACGTGACTAGAATCCAAGGAAACTGAATCAGCAATGACTTTACCAGTGATACTCTTGTCTATCTATCTATCTATCTATCTATCTATCTATCTAACTAACTATCTAACTAACTATCTAATATTTTTATTTATGTATCCCTCCATTTCAGTCTGTTTCGATCAGTTCTAATTTATGCCTGTCCTTTCTTATCTATCTATCTATCTATCTATCTATCTATCTATCTATCTATCTATCTATCTATCTCAAATCTAACCACGTAAATAAATAACTACATCTTATATCGAGAAATTCAAAACCGATATCTAAGTGGTTTTCTGAGCTTGTTCAAATTCATTTAACTACATTGATACTTTGTAACGTTGCATTTCAAAGTTATTTTACGATATCAACCCCTTCAAATCTATGTCTGTCACTATCTATCTATCTATCTATCTATCTATCTATCTATCTATCTATCTATCTCAATTCTCTCATATCTCTCTATTCCTCAATCATTCTATTTAGCTTGCAGTCTCATCTATCTATCTATCTATCTATCTATCTATCTATCTATCTATCTATCTCAATTCATCTATCTATCTCATTTCTCAATCATTCTATTTCTAGCAGTTCATCAATCATCTATCTATCTATCTATCTATCTATCTATCTATCTATCTATCTATCTATCTATCTATGACTGTTCAGGTATATCTATCTTGTTCAGTTTTTTTCATATCCATCTAGTAAATAACATTTCTTCTTTTTCTTCTCCTTCTTCTTTTTCTTCTTCTTCATCCAGATTTTTCCTTCATCGATTTGAACGGAAATCCATGCAACACCTCGACCAACAAACAAAATTCAATACTTAACGTCATTTTCGATCAGTGTGCTAATCAATAGTTAGTTCCAGCACCGACAAGATTTGCTTGAAACAAATACATATGCGTAGAGATAAAAATATATACATACGTTTCGGAATATACCAATTCCGTGTAGCTGAATCTGCAAATGCATTCTTGAATTCTGCAAATGCATTCTTCAGTTACTGATACTGAGCTATGGGATGTAAGTTAATCTCGAAGATTATTCATTGGTCCAGTTAATTCGGTCTCATCTGGATAGACCACGATTATTGTCATGGTGGCTTTCTAATCGTAGCTCAGATGTGCCACAAGGTCAAAAATCTATTGAAC